CCTGGGCCCCGACCCCCCAGTATCCGGGCGTCTGGACGTGGGGGAGAGTACCGCCACCCGCACAGTTGGCGGAGAATTCGGAGTCCGTGTCCGGACGCGGGCAGAGTTCGGCAAGCCTCATCTAGCCAGCGCCAAACCTAGAAGAGCGCTAAAAAGGAGGTTTCGGATGGAGAGGTCAGCCAGAGGGTAGGTTTGGGCAACTGGCTCTGTGGCGCAATGGATAGCGCATTGGACTTCTAGCCGATCTTGGTGTGGTTATTCAAAGGTTGTGGGTTCGAGTCCCATCAGAGTCAAATTTTGACAGCTCGCTCCCATTCGGATATTTTATGGCCTCCAGTACCCTATGAGGTTCAAAAGACTTCTAGACCTGAGGCTGGCACCTTTGCTTCTGGGACAGCAATAAACTTGGCGTCAGGATTACTGCGTGGGAATCCTGTGCCATCCATGGTATCTTGTAAGCAGCCTGGCACACCTGGTGGTACAAAGGGCAGATATGGAGACCTGTACCTAACCTCGGCCTCTGATGGCTCTGGACCCTGCAGCAAATCAGTTAACCTCTAAGCCTATTGACCATATTTGTCATACCACCTGCCAAGCCCTGGGCCATCTGCCAGCTTCCCAGCATTGCGCAACTCTGGGCCTCTGAAAACTTGGTTCCTTGATAATCAAACATGTTGGGCATCCACAGTTGCCACTTGTCCTTAAATAGATCCCTTAATCCCTTAGTCCAGTAGAAGTCCTTAAAAGGGGGGAGGGGCATTTTCAGGGTCTATTTGTAGGGATCAAAAATGAAATTTTGGTCTGATAAGTATTTGGACCTATTTCTTCCAGAGTATAGGGTGCATCCTTTTGGAGGACCTTGGTAAATTAAAACACAACCTCTCCCATGGGTATTACATTCAGGAGGCAGTGTGGTGCAACAGTTATCGGCCTGGGCATCGGCATCCAAAAGACTTGGTTCAACTTCTCAGTTGAAAGTTCAAAGTCTCCATTTCTTCTTATATATAAAAATGAGGACAGGGCCGGCCCCGTGGCTTAGCAGTTAAGTGCGCGTGCTCCGCTGCTGGCGGCCCAGGTTCGGGTCCCGGGCGCACACCGACGCACTGCTTCTCCGGCCATGCTGAGGCCGCGTCCCACATACAGCAACTAGAAGGATGTGCAGCTATGACATACAACTATTTACTGGGGCTTTGGGGGAAAAATAAATAAATAAAATTATTAAATAAATAAATAAATAAATAAAATAACCAACCAAC